ACAGAACATTCTACCCCAAAGCTACAGAATATACATTCTTCTCAACTACACACAAGACATTCTCAAAGATAGACCACATATTAGGACACAAAACAAGCCTCTACAAGTTCAAGGAGATTGAAATCATATCAAGCATCTTCTCAGACCACAGGGGCATGAAATTAAAAACCAACTATAATAAAAACACTAAAAAATATTTAAACACATGGAGGCTGAAAAGCATGCTTTTAAACAATGAATGGGTTAACAAAGAGATCAAGAAAGGAATAAAAAACTTCCTGGAAGCAAATGAAAATGAACACACAACAACTCCAAATCTATGGGACACAATGAAAGCAGTCCTGAGAAGGAAGTTCATAGCACTACAAGCCTACCTCAAAAAACAAGAAAAACTTCTAATAGACTCTAACCCTACAACTTAAAAACTTAGAAAGAAAACAACAAGAAAATCCCAGAGTAAGTAGAAGGAAATAAGTAATAAAGATCAGAGCAGAAATAAATGACATAGAGACTAAAAAAACAATACAAAAGATCAATGAAACCAAGAGCTGGTTCTTTGAAAAGATAAACAAGATTGATGAACCTTTAGGCAGACTCATCAAGAATCAGAGAGAAGACCCAAATAAACAAAATCAGAAATAAAAGAGGTGAAATAACAACTGACCCAATAGAAATACAAAGGATTGCAAAAAAAATACTATGAACGACTATTTGCCACAAAGCTGGACAACCTGGATAAAATGGATAAATTCCTAGAAAAATACAGCCTTCTAAAACTCAGTCAGGAAGAGTCAGAAAGCCTAAATAGGCCAATAATTGCTGATGAAGTGGAAACAGTAATCAAAAGGCTTCCAGCACACAAAAGTCCTGGTCTAGATGGCTTCACAGGGGAGATTTACCAAACATTCAAAGAAGAATTAACACCTATCCTCTTCAAATCATTTCAAAAAATCCAAGAGGAAGGAACACTTCCAAATTCTTTACGAGGTCAGCATTAGCCTAACTTCAAAATCAGATAAAGACACTACAAAGAAAGAAAATCACAGGCCAATATCCCTGATGAACATAGATGCTAAAATCCTCAACAAAATATTAGCAAATCAGATCCAGCAATATATTTAATCCCACCATAACCAAGTGGGATTTATTCCAGGCATGCAAGGCTGGTACAATATTCATAAATCAATAAACGTGATGCATCACATAAACAAACTGAAAGACAAAAATCACATGATCATATCAATAGATGCAGAAAAAGCATTCAATAAAATCCAACACCCATTTTTGATAAAAACGCACAGCAAAGTGGGAACAGAGGGATCATACCTCAACATAATAAAGGCCATATATGACAAACCTACAGGCAACATCATACTCAATGGGCAAAAACTAAATCCATTTCCCCTAAGAACAGGAACAAGACAAGGGTGTCCACTTTCACCACTCTTACTCAACATAGTACTGGACATCCTAGCCACAGTGATCAGACAAGAAGAAAACATAAAAAGCATCCAAATTCGAAAAGAGGAAACAAAACAGGTCATTATGTGTAGATGACATGATATTGTCCATAGAGATTTCTAAAGACTCCACCAAAAAACTGCTAGATTTAATAAATGAATTCAGCAAGGTAGTAGGATACAAAATTAACACCTAGAAATTGACGACATTTTTATACACCAGTAATGAACTCTCAGAAACAAAAACTAAAAAGCAATCCCATTTACCATTGCAACTAAAAAAATAAGATACCTAGGAATAAACTTGACCAAAGATGTAAAAGACCTGTACTTGGAAAACTACAGGACACTGAAAAAAGAAATAGAGGAAGATATAAACAAATGGAAAAATATACCATGGTCGTGAATTGGAAGAATTAACATCATTTAAATGTCCATACTACCCAAAGCAATCTATAAATTCAATGCAATCCCTATTAAAATACCAACAGCATATTTCACAGACCTAAAACTAACACTTAAAAAATTTATATGGAACCAAAAAACACCTCAAATTGCCATGGCAATCTTGAGAAAGAACAAACTTGGAGGGATCACAATACCAGGCATCAAGTTATACTACAAAGCCACTGTAATCAAAACAGTCTGGTACTGGCACAAGAACAAGTGTATAGATCAATGGAATNGCACAGCAAAGTGGGAACAGAGGGATCATACCTCAACATAATAAAGGCCATATATGACAAACCTACAGGCAACATCATACTCAATGGGCAAAAACTAAATCCATTTCCCCTAAGAACAGGAACAAGACAAGGGTGTCCACTTTCACCACTCTTACTCAACATAGTACTGGACATCCTAGCCACAGTGATCAGACAAGAAGAAAACATAAAAAGCATCCAAATTCGAAAAGAGGAAACAAAACAGGTCATTATGTGTAGATGACATGATATTGTCCATAGAGATTTCTAAAGACTCCACCAAAAAACTGCTAGATTTAATAAATGAATTCAGCAAGGTAGTAGGATACAAAATTAACACCTAGAAATTGACGACATTTTTATACACCAGTAATGAACTCTCAGAAACAAAAACTAAAAAGCAATCCCATTTACCATTGCAACTAAAAAAATAAGATACCTAGGAATAAACTTGACCAAAGATGTAAAAGACCTGTACTTGGAAAACTACAGGACACTGAAAAAAGAAATAGAGGAAGATATAAACAAATGGAAAAATATACCATGGTCGTGAATTGGAAGAATTAACATCATTTAAATGTCCATACTACCCAAAGCAATCTATAAATTCAATGCAATCCCTATTAAAATACCAACAGCACATTTCACAGACCTAAAACTAACACTTAAAAAATTTATATGGAACCAAAAAACACCTCAAATTGCCATGGCAATCTTGAGAAAGAACAAACTTGGAGGGATCACAATACCAGGCATCAAGTTATACTACAAAGCCACTGTAATCAAAACAGTCTGGTACTGGCACAAGAACAAGTGTATAGATCAATGGAATGGATCAGAACAGAGAACGCAGAAATTGACCTACAACATTATGATCAATTAATATTTGACAAAGAAGGCAAGAATATACAATGGAGTAAAGACAGTCTTTTCAATAAATGATGTTGGGAAAATTGGACAGGTACATCCAAAAAAAATGAAACTAGACTACCAACTTACACCATATACCAAAGTAAATTCAAAATGAATAAAAGACTTAAATGTAAGTTTTGAAACCATAAAAATCCTAGAGGAAAACCTAGGCAGCAAAATCTCAGACATCTCTCATAGCAATATGTTTGCTGATACATCTCTTAGGGCAAGAGAAACTAAGGAGAAAATGAACCAATGAGACTGCATCAAAATAAAAAGCTTCTGCACAGCAAAAGAAACCATCTACGAAATGAAAAGGGAGCCCACTGTGTGGGAGAACATATTTGCCAACAACACATCTGATAAAGGGTTAATTCCCAAAATATATAAGGAACTCACACAACTTAACAAAAGGAAGACAAACAATCCAATTTAAAAATGGGCAAAGAACCTAAATAGACACTCCAAAAAGGACATACAGATGGCTAAGAGACATATGAAAAAATGCTCAACATTGCTAATCATCAGAGAGATGCATCCTAAAACCACAGTGAAGTATCACTTCACACCTGTCAGAATGGCTACCATCAACAAATCAAAGAACTACAAGTGCTGGTGAGGGTGTGAAGAAAATGACACCCTAGTACACTGCTGGTGGGAATGCAGACTGGTGCAGCCACTGTGGAAAGCAGTATGGAGGCTCCTCAAAAGATTAAAAATTGACCTGTCATTTGATCCAGTGATCTCACTTCTAGGAATATATCCTAAGGAACCCAAAACACCAATCACAAAGAATTTATGTACCCCTATGTTCATAGCAGTATAATTTACAATAGCTAAGATCTGGAAACAGCCCAAGTGCTCATCAGTAGATGAGTTGATAAAAATGCGTGTGGCACATTTACACCATGGAATATTATGCAGCTCTAAAAAAGAATATTTTATACTTTGGCACAGCATGGAGGGAACTAGAAAGTATTATGCTAAGTGAAATAAGCCAGTCAGAGAAAGATAAATACCATATGATCTCACTTATATGTGGAATATAATAAATAAAATAAACTGATGAACAAAAGGGATCCATAGACATAGAAGCATGGAACAGACTGAGCGATCTCAGAGGGAAGATGGGGAGAGGGAGGGGGTGGGGAGAGATTAATCAAAGAAGTTATATGTTTATAAGCATAACCCATGGACACAGACATTGCTATATGGAAAGCTGGGGGTGGGATGGATACAGGGTGGAGGGGATCAATGGGGATAAATAGGGGACATCTGTAATATTCTCAACAATAAAGATAAAGAAACTTAAAAAAAAAAAAAGAGTGCTTAATTGGACTAAACCACAAGCATATCCAAGGGAGCACTAAAATAATCCTATGTATCGTTGAAGCTACCCTGTAAATCATTCTGCTATATTAACAGCATACATAAAGCCTTTTACAAAACAGAATTAAAAGTCCCTAAGGCTAGGCACCAGTAGTTTTCAAACTGGTGGAAAAGCACCTGAAAATCAAAAAGTTCAAAAAAAACTTAAAATTACATTAAATTTTTAAAAATACCAATACATAATTTTATGAGTAAGCATATATATTATGCATGATTTTTTAAATATAGGGTAACTTTTAAGTTGATAAGTTTTCTCTTGTCACATGTTCTTTTATGTAAATTAGGGAAAGAATAATTAAATTTCTATTATTCAATTTTAGTTGAAAGAATGTGCCAAAGTCAGAGTACACCAGATATATGCAGGAATGTAGTGTGTAAACCACTGAGACACTTTTATTCTATCTATTCATTCTTTTTCTATGTAAATTAATATAATAACCAATGATTATTCAAAAATTTTCAACTTATACTTCTAATTGGTTTACAAATGAGACAAAATATTGATGTAATTAACAATTAAAAATGTTATATTTACCTCTTCCATTTGATTGACCTGTCGTTGAAACCACTTTTAAAAAAGAACAGAAAAGAAATAGTTATTGACAAGTTAAATTTCTGCAGTGAAATAAATGTGTGTTGTGTGTGTGTGTGCGTGTGTGTGTGTGAGAGAGAGAGAGAAACAGAGATAGAAACA